GTTATGCTACACAGCATGTGTGAGGGATTCTTGCTACATACACAAAGGTTACCCTGCAGCATGCTCTGCTTCCTAAACGACATTTACGATCCTAAACAATGAAACATTGATCCAAAGAACAAGGTCAGAGAGTTCGTCATCATCATGAAGACAGGATTATTTGTATGGGGCTGCATGCACCTGATGGTTCTCCAACTAAGAAGTCCTGAAGCCTGAAAACAGTTTACATTTGCTGTGAGAGCACACGTGAAAACGTTCAGGAAGTTCATCTGAAGAGAAACTGGGCCAACGTTTGGTTCGACCTCCTGCATGCACACACTCCTGTGCTCACGCTGTTCCTTCTCTCACCACAGTTTGATTTCGGCGATGTAGCCGTCCACCAGGCTATCCACACCATAGAGTACTGCCTGGGGTGCATCTCCAACACAGCCTCTTACCTCCGCCTGTGGGCCCTCAGCCTGGCTCATGCACGTGAGTGACGACTCTCACACAGAGAAACAGAACTATGAGTCATGTTGTTTGCTGCTGTGATTCACTGTGAACCTGTTTGCACAGAGCTCTCAGAGGTCCTCTGGTCCATGGTGATGCACCTCGGCCTCTCCTCCCGGAGCGGGGGCGGGTTCTTCGGCCTGTCCATCATCTTCGCCTTCTTCGCCGTGCTAACGGTCGCCATCCTGCTCGTGATGGAGGGGCTGTCAGCCTTCCTGCATGCCCTGCGTCTGCACTGGTTAGAGTCACACTTACACGCAAATACAGAGAATCTGTGACGGGGAGTCACTTTGTCACTTTGTCACTTTGTGATCTGGACCAGCGAAGCTCCGTCTGTGTCGGTGTGACACACACAGTGTCCAGTTTTTCTTTTATTCAATACTGAAGTGTAACTTTGTATTCAGTGTTTGCATAAAAGCCCCATTTTGATGTGTTTGCTACGAGCAGAGGACACACATGAGCTCAGAGACAAGTTTGAGCTTTTGTCCTCCACGATGAACAACGGCTGAAAGGAAAAACCAGCATCGCTTTGTTTAGCTCCTAATGTTGTCTGTCTGCAGCTTTGCTGGGCTGGAAGTTTGCCACCCCTGATTTATGATTGAATGAAGACAAAACCAACAGTCACACGGTGTTACTGTCAGAAGTCTCTGAAAATCTGCTGGAGCCGTCTTTACAAAAGTCTCCCAGGTTTCCTGTTTGAGGCCTGATAACTGTACCAGCTGCAGAA